TGGAACCCGCCAGACTACCCAATTACCGACACACAAGCAAAGTAGCTAATCTCACTTTTCAGCTCAATTGGTCTCAAAATCATATCACCAAAGGGTGTTCCTACGCGCTTCTCCACAAACACTACTCCGACAACCATTGACCTTGCATGGGCCAGCTGGAACCTGGCGCAGAAGGTCATTAGTTGTAAAGTATTAACCAACACCTTAGCTTCAGACCATTTTCCTATAGCAACTATCCTCGACCTGAATTTCATACCTCCTGTTGAATCCCACATCTCACTGAAAATCACTGACATCCAATCTACACTACTCCATAGCAAAATCACAGATAAACTACACCTACTTCCACCTGACTACGACAACTTCTCCACTATCAACACAGCAGTTTCTACGCTATCAAGCATCATTCTTGAAGCCGCGCAGGAACAGGGTAAAAAGGTAAAAACCAAACTCAACAAACATAAAGTCTGGTGGGACAAGGACAAATTGAACCCAATCCTCAAGAACCAAAACCAAGCCCGCCGTTGGATGATCTTGTCCGGACTACCTGAGGCTCGAAAATGTTATTATGAATGGCAAGCCTTTTTCAAAGATCAGGTACTCAAAACTAAAGTCAACCATTGGAAACAATTTTTGGCATCCTGCTCAAACAACGACACTTTCAAGGCTTTCAAATATGTCAAACCCAGCTCGTCGAGTGAAATCGCCCCGCTCAAAAAACAAGATGGATCAGTAGCTATTGATAAAGAAGAACAGGCATCTCTGCTGTACTACGGAACATCTGTTGCCCATGTGGAGGCCAATCTATCTGACATCCCACCTGATCTAGACAACCGGATTACACTTACTCAACACCTCTTCCCTAAACTTGAGCCCCACGAGCTCAGGGGTATTATCAACAACCTTCCGAACCGTTGAGCGAATGGAGACGATTGCATCTTGAACGAACTTATCAAACTGGCTTTACCTGCGATTGAGGAGGAACTATGCCGACTTTTTAACGCCTGTTTCAAACGGGGTTACTTTCCAAACGCCTGGCGTAAGGCAATCACGATCATTATAAGGAAGAATGGCAAAGACAACTATTCGGACCCGAATGCTTACAGGCCCATCGCGCTACTCAGCTGTTTAGGCAAGATATTGGAAAAGATCATCACTTGCCGGCTTACCTTCTGGGCTGAATCCAGGAAGATAGTTGCTGCTGGCCATATGGGCGGTAGACAGCATCATTCCACAGAGGATGCTCTCTTAATTCTCACGACCTGGATCAAACAAAAATGGAGGAACAATGAGGTGGTATCAGCGCTATCACTGGATGTGAAATCAGCTTACCCTTCAGTTCATCGAGAACGCCTACTCTCTACTCTGTATAATCACAACTGCCCAAGCTACCTCCTGTCACAAATTCAAGGGTTCCTTTATGAGCGTTCTACACATCTTCGACTTCAGGACTTCTTATCAGCGACCTTTGAAGTAGATAATGGTCTACACTGCAGACATTATTTGGGTTCCCCAAGTGGGCAGGGAAAAATGATTGGGAGTATGATTTGTCATAAAATGGTCTATCACTCCACACCTGAGCCATAACACCCACACTACATATGTGTAGCAGGCTCAGTGAATATGTGGTTATCATGTACATACAGTTCTGCTCAGTTATCTGCTCATCAGGACAAGTTATTCATATGTAATACATGCTGTAACTTCTTTCAGATTGAAAAAAGCTTCCAAAAGATTGACTACATACACTGACTCAATGTTTTGGTGTGATCTCATCAACTCAACTGCATGTAACACACTTTCTGTTACTAAGACATAGCTTCAACAATATTGCCTGAGCAGCTACAGAATTATATGTAGTGAATTTTTGGGAAAAAAATTTCAAAGTCGAAAAAGTTACATGTGGTATAACATGTGATTTATTTATTCTGATGGGCAAAAAACTGAGCAGACCTGTATGTACATGATAGACAACTATTGACTTAGCTTGCTGCACATATGTAGTGTGGGTGAAATGGCCCAGGTGTGCAGTATTAGATTCTTTTATGAAAAACTGTACTATTAATCATTTTCCTCTGCCAAATTGGGGAAGTTGAATGATGTTTACAGTGCTACCTCAAGGTTCTCCCTTATCAGTCATATTATACATCATCTACAATTCGCCTCTTCTAAATTCAACAACCATCTCTCCAAACTCACTCAATTTGTCACTAGGTTTCATCGATGATGTGATCCATTTAGTTGCATCAAAAACATTCGAAGAAAATTTAACAAAACTACAACTACACGCCACAAGATCGCTAAATTGGGCCGAGACTCACGGTGCAATTTTTGACAAGAAAAAGGCTCAACTTATCCATTTTACTAACAAGAGAAATCAGACCTTTCCCAGTTTCAAATTTGGTGAAGTACTACTACAACCCAAGAACGAAATTAAATGGCTAGGAGTTTGGCTCGATACCAAACTACTGTTCAACTCGCATCTACAGCACATGAAGAAAGCGGGCGATTTCACTATGCACCAACTCCGCAGACTAAACAGGTGCTACTCAGGACTAGCCCCCAAAGAAGTCAAACGACTTGTTCTCTCAGTACTATTGCCTCGAATCCTTCACGGGAGCATAGCATGGTTCACAACAAGAAACTTTAACAAAGCTAATAAAATTATAAGGTCTTTTCAAAACGCAGCTCTGATCTTGATTCTTGGTGCTTTCAAAGGCACATCCATCGATCTACTTCACCACGACGCTTTCATGGCTCCAATTCATCAGATCGTCACGAGAAGACATCATAACTTCATCCTCAAAAGACTTTCGACACCAACCTCCCACCCAACTCATATGCTAATAAAACATGAACTGATGAATGGACCAACAAAGAACAAAAGCCCTATACAGGACATTCTACAATTCGATGTGCTGAACCAAACAGCAAAGCTGAAGATCGAAACAATTTATGCTCATCCTTTTCCCCCGTGGTCTAAACCAATCGGCACGGTTTATAATCTAGACAAATCCAAAGAAGAAGCTACTGACTTGATTCCCAAACAAATCAAAGAAGAGGAAGAAAGAAATTCAATTATTATATTTACAGACGGATCAGTAAATCAAGAGGGAGGCGGAGCCTCAGCCGTTTCAACTTCAAATCAAAAAACAATATCTCTCCAATTACCTCAGTTCTTTTCCAATCATGAGGCGGAACTATTAGGCCTTTCACTAGCAGCTCAACTTGCTAAAGAACTTCTCCGCGGCAGAGTGCAGCAACACCCAGACTTGGCTATCTTTAGTGACAACCAAGCAGTATTGAGGCTGATTCACGACATTCCGAGGGCTACTTCGGGTCAACAGTTGATCATCAAAACTCGTACTGAATTAAAATCTCTCCCTATAGACGCTATAATAAGATGGTATTGGACGCCAGGTCATGCAGGTATTGAACTCAACGAAAAAGCAGACAAGCTCGCCAAACAGGCGGCTGACGCTCATATGGAAGGCACTCGACTACCAGCAAGTTTGGGTAGTCTAAGAAGAATAACTAAAGAAAAGTTTAATACTAACCAGTTTCCTTTCAGGCCAGGTTCTAAACCTTTTTCTACCAAACCGCAGCACATTGCCAGTGCCTTAATGGGTATGGAAAAAGGTAGATCAGCCTCAATTGTACAGTTGAGGGCGGGTCATAGTCCCCTTAATGATCATCTTCATAAAAGAAATCTAACTGAATCTCCTTTATGTACCAAGTGCAGATTAAAGGAGACTACTGAACACTTCCTTCTTTATTGCTCTAGATACAAAAGAGAACGCAAACGATTCCGGGCCAGACTTCGCAAAGAAGAGATCAGGGTCAATTGGAACAATGCTAAAAAACTACTAGATTCTCCTAAAACCTTCTTTTTACTTTCTGAATTCATCTTAGAAACTAAACGCTTTGTATTTTTCCATTCATATCTACAGGACACAAACTCAAGAAAGCAGTCACGGGACAAAAGTTAGAATGTTGATGATCCGCAATATCAACGTAGCAATATCTTCCAAAGCTGTTAACCCGACAAACTAGATGCCCCACCTCCTTCCTTGAATTGGGGGACGAGTGGTCAGCAAATAGTGGGAAAAAAAAAAAGATACTTCCTCAACAAACATTCAAGCTAGTCTTACCCGTTTAAACAAGACGTGGAATAAGTAACTTAGGCTAAATGTCACTGTTAATGCATATGAAAGCGATGTCACGATTGGTAAACAATCACCGACAGCACATACACGTCTTAGTTTCCCTTTCCTTCCACCTTAGATTGGGGATGAGTCTGTGGGGCTAAACTGTCACTGTTGCTTGATTCCCTGCATTTGTAGGATATCTAGAGATGAGTCGCGAATGGTAAACATCCCCGACAGCACACACAATCCCTAGGATCCTTACCTTCCACCTTAGATTGGGGATGAGTAAACGACCTATATTGTCACTGTTTTTCTCTCAAAAAAAAAAAAGTCTAAAAAAGATAGCTGCCTCATTGCGTAACGATCTAAAGACACTTCTCACTCAAGTCACCGACTAGATGACTGTCTTTCAAGTGTACTAGTCTTTGTAATTAATTACTTGCTTAGATAGTGTAATATGCAATAAAGCAAAAATACACTTTAAAAAAAAAAAAAAAAAAAAAAAAAAACCATCTTAGGTTAATATTTTTAGCATCTCGAACGTGTAACTTACTCGTTTGCGATTACAATAGATATTAAGTGGACAAAACAGGTTAGGGTTTCTCCAATACAGTCCTATGTTGCAATACAGGTCTTCGATTTTTTCACGCATGATCTGGAAAGTTTGAGAAGCACCTTGGAGTTTTTTTGGTCAACAGTTTCATCAAAACAGCTTCATCAGCCTTTCCTCAAGCTCAAGGTGAAGCTCAAGCTCAAGCTCAAGATACCATACATCATCATCATCAAGCAGCAATATCACTACTATCATCGAGAAACACTTCATATCTCATCACTGGATTTTATTCAAAAGACATGCAAATGTCATCAACTCGATTATCGCTCACTTTCCATTCTTGCCGTTGTTTGAAATCACCAGTCTCGCTGGTTTCTTCTCATACGGACCGATCGGCTCAAAATAATATTCCACGCCCCCAGATTCTATCCTCTCACCTTCAGGCTCGAACATATTCTCAATCACTTCACCGTTGTCCCTCTAACACGGCATCTCATTTTCAAAGGGTAAGTCCTTGCATGCCTCATCCCACTGAAGCTGTTGGTCTGGAACCTCACCTTGAAGCCTTCAATTCAGCGTAACTTTCATTCCTCTCGACCTCATCAAGCCGACTCCAAGGATCCTTATTCAGTGCTTGGTGTCAAGAAAGATGCAGCACAAGGCGAAATCAAAAAAGCGTATTACTCTGTGAGCGGAATGACCTGTGACAAATGACATTACTTTTCCCATATGTTTTTGCAACTTCTAATCAATTTTCCCACATTTCGAAGTTTAGCTCGCCAAGAAATTCCACCCCGATGTTAACAAGGAGCCTGGTGCTAAAGAACGATATCAGAATGTTCAAGAAGCTTATGATGTACGCTGTTTCGCCTGACTTTGATCAATCACTTCAAACTGAACCGCATCATGGATTTTCTTGAAATTAGACTTTGAGCGACGAGCAAAAGCGTGCGGCCTACGACCGCTTTGGACCTATGTCACAACAGCCTGGATTTGATCCGAATGCATTTGGCTCCGGTGCCGGCTTTGGCGCAGGATCTCCCTTTGGTGATATGTTTGGCGGTGATCCAGGGGATGTATTCAGCAGCCTTTTTGGCGCTTTTGGTGGAGGTCGGTCTGGTCGGTCTGGACAGCAATCTCAAAATCAAGTCTTTGTCGGGGATGACTTGGAGGCCTCGATCACTATTCCTTTTGCCGAAATGGCCAAGGGTACAACTCGGACCGTATCCGTCACTCCTATTGTAGATTGTCCAAAGTGCAAAGGTGCCGGAACCCGTGAAGGTGCCAAAGCTCAGACTTGCTCGCCCTGTAAGGGTACTGGAACAATTACCTTTGTGGTGCAGTCTGGTTTCACTATGGCCAGTACATGTCAAAGCTGCAGCGGTTCGGGTACTCGAATTGCTGAAAAGGATCTTTGTTCAACTTGCGGCGGTGTCGGCAAAGTTCGAGACTCGAAAGAAGTAGAAGTGAAAATACCTGCAGGTGTTGAAGATGGAATGAAGATCAAGCTATCTGCTCAGGGTAATGCACCCGTTGGCGGGGGTAAACACGGCCGACCCGGTGATCTGTATGTCCGAGTCAATGTGGCGCCATCGCGGATATTCAGGCGACAAGGCAGCAATATCTACACCGAAGTCAAGATTCCTTTCCACTCGGCTCTTCTAGGCGGAACTGTGCGCGTACCGACACTAGACAATGAGGTTGATGTACACGTTCCAAGAGGCACTCAGCCCGGTGAAGAACTTGTGCTGAAGGGCCGAGGTGTCAAACACCTTTACAAGCAATGGGTAGGCGATCTGATCGTCAAATTCAATGTCACCATACCTCGGTACGCCGATTTTCTTCAACGGTTCTTTTCGCTTATGATCATGACTTGGCTTCACTCAACTGACCTTGCTTCTATCTTCTTAGCTCATTGAACCCCGACCAACGAGAAGCCCTGATGGCCTACGTCGCTGCTACAGAAGGAAACAAGGCTGCCAGACCCAACTCATCAGCTTCCACCTCGACACCGCCACCTCCGTCTTCAAATGGTGAGCAGACATGATATCTTACATTTGTTCCAACCTCCCTTCCCCTTTCTCTCCACTCAGACCACTTTGCGGTCTTTTTATCCTTGACAATACCGTTGCAACAATCGACGCCCATACCAGTTTACTCAGTGTAAAAGCTGGTTTGAAGGTCCGCATTGAAGGAAGACTGTTGATATGATGCTCGTTGTATACTTTGCTTTCAATTCCGAATAGACGAATCTAGTGGACTGTTCAATAGATTGGCCACCTCCGTGAAGAGACTGTTTGGGCAGGATTGAAACCCCCCTGACAACACTCACTATATATAGACCCGCCACTTTCCCACTCTCTTTCCTCGTGATACCCGTTAATCGCATTCCCGTCCGTGTTAGAGATACACCTACCTATCCTGAATTTCCGCTTTGTTTGGAAAACTTTTATTGATTTCTGGAAATTATATGGCACTTCCCTCTGTCCATCACTCAGATCAACAGCCGAACTTGAAGCCGGAACCGACCAAACCCGAATCTGAAGACACTACCCCCGACTCGACAACTGATCAGTCAGGCAAAAAGCCCACAACTGAAGAGTCTTCATCAAAGCCAGACCTCTCATAGATAACCCTTGTTCAATCCTGCTCCAAGAAAATATTCGAATTGTTCTAGCAGACCACAAGCCTTTTTAGACTCCTCTGATATCCTCTTGATCTGCCCTTTCACATATCTGTCAGCATAATCGAACCTGCATCTGTTTATCTTGCCTAGTGACGATGTCTGGAGGTCTGAAATCAATCACGCCAATGGCGAGGCAAAAGAATATGTCTCAAAGCAGAACATTTCTAGAAGGATTGGGATCTACAAAGAGTCACCAAGTTTCCGTATGGAGAAAATATTGAGTGTGTCAATCCATTTTGTGTTTTTGTACAATGGCTTGGAAGTAGGATACCTGTCTGTTATCATCACTGCAGGATGTGCACAAAATCAAAACCATGTATCCTTTGAAAGCCAAAAGTTGTGTGATGAATCTTGAGTTTGTCATTGAACTTACACAGCAAGTGATCAAAATCAGAACTTGCACTGATTTTGACTCAAGCCCATATTCCATTTGCTTGCATGGGACCATCAACTCCTTTTGACCTCAAAACTTCCATCCATGTTGTACAGTCCCCTCCAAGTGGTTTATGTAATCATTCAAGCTCTGCAGTGGCAGACCAGGGTTTGTCACAAACCCAATGATTGAAATTCCTAGGCATGGGGACATGTACTTCTAATAGTTTGTAGACTGCTCTTCAGCAAGATCTTTTGTTCAAGTTGAACATTTTCTTCAAAGGTGTCATCATAAAGCAGGCAATGCAAGCTCAATATATAGCGGGTTCACAGATCAGTGAGTCGTCATCAAGTACATACAAACTACTCAATTCACCAATGTCAAAATTCCCCTTTGAGCATTCTTGCACATACATTGATGATATAGTTTACAAATGGACAGACTTGTCTACATATAGTATGTAGGATGAGTCAATACAAGGCCAGTGTCAGTGAGGTGACTTGTACAAATTGGTTTGGGGTGAGTCAGAAGAGAGGTAGAAAACCTGAGAGGTAGATGATTTGCAGTTGATATGACATCCTATCAAGAGTCTAAAGGAAGCTTCCCAGAAAGCATTTATCTTGTGATGGATGGATTGAGGAAGGCCTTGCATGAGGTATCATATGGCTTGCACTTAACATAGCCAACATATGGCACTTTATTTGTTTTTGAGCTGCATGCCTTTTTCAGCACACACTACTAGATCATCAGACATGCAAAAGAAATCGACCATGTCTTCAACAGTTGATCAAGACATAGCAGTGCCATACAAACTTCAACCTGGGAAACAATGTCTTTTAACAATATTATAGTGGCAGTGTTTTCACCAATACTGCAACCGCTACACAACACAATGGGATTTGACCTCATTGGTGTTGTGTATAATAAGTCAAATAAAAAAGGACACATCCTTGAGGTTATGGTATGGCTCTGCTATATAGTGGAGAAACCCTGGCCCTGGCCCATTATGGAGTGCTTATTAGAATATAACTTAACATTCAAACACATTAAGCAAATTACAGATAGAACTTGATTACATAGACTCAAACCCAGGCTATACAAATGTCACACCTAATTCAATCTTACTAACATATCACATTTAGATAGAACTTACTCCAAATATGCTACTGTTTCCTTGTCAGTTCACTGAGGAACAGGCTGGTGTGTAATTGGCTCAATTTTGTTCTTCTCCAATCTGAATACTCAGATCATTGAATTGTTTTCTTTTCTATGTTATTAGTTCTCTTTTTCTATATTTGCTTTTGTCTGTTTCTAACCTTAATAGGTATGATCCTGTTCTTATCTTCTTTGGTGTTCAGAGAGGTAAGATTGATGCTTGCTTTCTGGCTATTACAAGGTCACCGTCCTATTTGAGGATCTTGATTTTCTTGGTTTATTGCAGTGCTGTAAAACATATAACCCAACAAGAGTTATACAGAGCAGGAAGGGTAAAATATACAAGTAAAGACATGACAAAAAGTGTCTATGGACCACCCTCCTAAAACAAGACAATCAGAGATAGCTTCTGTTGAATGAGTACTGATGAGGACAAGTGAAAAGTATCTTAGAATGATTCAAAGGACAAAAGCATGAGTTTTTGAAAGTTCAAAGCACCTGATTTTAAATGTTCTCAACACTTTTAGTGTTGTTCCAGTCAGATAACAGAAGAGAAAGCTCAGTATCCTATTGATATTATTCCTAATTGACTTTGAAAGTCTACAACCTTCACTAATAGAGTAAATTTCTCTTTATAATTGTAATAAACGGTGTATTTAAGTGACCTGGTAATATCAAAATAAGTTTAGGATGATGGACAAAATGATAATGTTGTAAAACTCAAGAAAAAGGGGGGGAAACAACCCAAATCTTCCTCTCAAAAGTATATAACTTTGATCACAGACTTTTAACAATGGTCAACAACCTCAAAACACAATCATTTTTGACAAAAACCTCCTTTCAAATCTTAAGAACTCTTACTAAAGCTCATTGTAAAGATCTCATGATTCTGATCAATCTATGGTGTCTCATGATATATTTCTGATGAGTAAGGATGAAGTAAGTAAGTTGTACAGATTGATAAACTCAGGTTTTGAAGAAGATTGCATATGAATGAGCCATGTTACACATGGTGGTGTAAGCCAAAACCCATGATACAGCCGGATTCCCTCAATTACATATAAGCCAATGTTCAAATTTGAAAATCACTCTTTTGTCATTTACTCCTGACAACCCTTTCATAACATCTACAATATTCTTGATTTAAAGGTTGTACATTCTCAAAAAACTGATTCTGTGTTTATTGAATTATTACTTGGGTTTATCAGACAAGACTTGATATATGTTACTAATAAAAAACTACTCATTTCCACAATTTCTCACTTTTGAGATCATGTTTTCTTTGTTTTACTCCTTTCCACTCTTCCTTCTTCACATATCCAATGTGATAAGGCAATCTTTTCTCGTGAATAACTCTAAAACAACCCCAAAACCTTTCCTGTCATTTATGATTACTAATCACACCTCTACATATCTAAAATCACCCATGAAACACCTCTTTACCACTTTTTGTAAGTTTTTTCCCTCTATTCTTCACTTTTCTTTCATTCTTTCTCAATCAACCATTCTGATTAAAGCTCTTGCTAACCAATATTTGTAAGGTTCGGGTGAATGGAACCTTCACTGGGATGGTGAATCTGCTCAAAAGCGCAAGTTCACCTAACAAAAAGAACCTATATTTCCCAAAACTGGCTCCGTGTGGAGAGTCTCCTCTAATCAGTAACCACTAACACAACAATAAACACACAAGAGTGATGAAATAAGAAGACTAAGAGAATAACGTACCTGGCTCCGTGTGGAGAGTCTCCTAAGGGAAAGGAGAATCACTGGAGCCAGGGCAAGTAAACAACTACACTCTGATCTCTAAACCCATAATACCTGTATAAGTGCTATCTGTAAGGCATACCCTTACAATATTACCCTCCTAAAATTTTTATTAACCCAATAGATCCTCTTTTGATACCCTAGAAACCATTTCCAATTTTATTTTACCTATATCTTTCAATCGTTCTATGTTTAATTAATTTATTTTCCTAATCACCTTCTAAGAATTAATGACAAATGATTTTAATGTATATACTGAAAGAGCTTGATATTAAATTATGTAGAAATTATCAGGTAACCTGAAAACCTATAACTAAATGATACACCGGTGAAATGATAAGATGAGTCATCAAGATCTCCTGAGATAAAACTTGATGTTGATAAATGATATAATAAACTTTCAAATTTTCTTGCTTAATGATTTAAAATAATCACAACAGATCCCACTGCCCTATGGGCGCTTTCCATCCTCAAAATGTGGTGCACAGGCTCTGCTATATATAGCAGGGCTATTGTGGGCCAAAAACTGCTCTGCAATCACAAAATAGAGCACAGAAATTGCAGTATTGCTGTTATTCTTTCAATTAGGTACATAAAAAAATCATCACTAATGGTGAAGCAGTGTCTGCTATGCATTTGGATAGCTCTTTGCAAGTAATCATTATCAGTATTTCTGTTAAGGCCTTAGGTGTGGATCTTGTCAACAGAAGAGAGGAATCAATAGGTCATCTGGTCTCTATTATAAGATTGTCGCATGAAGGAAATAGGACAGTATGAGCTAGTGACGTATATACAAATAGTCTACTATGTGTGACATGCGTGTTGAACCTTTCACAGGTAGAGTCATAACATTATCCCCCTTTTAATGCCCAAGCTCCCTTTTGCAAGCTCTGCATGCTTCCCCGGGCAGCATTAAAAAACCACGTGGGAAAAAGCTTAGCCCTCTCACCGTCTTCTCCGTGCCTTCTTTATCCTTTCTGCATTTGGAAATCTTATTTTGAATTCTTTCAATAAATCTTTACAATTCTTGAGGTTTGCTTCCGGTTCCCATGAGTCGTGACTTGAATTAAACCCCGTCCAATTTACTAAGTATTCTTTTTTATTTCTTCTCATTCTACAGTCTAATATTGCTGACACCTCCCATTCTTCTTCACCTTCGATTTCGATTGCCGGGCTTTCTTTACGCGCTCTTTGATGAATTGTGTCAGGATTGTGTTTTCTTAGTAAAGACACGTGAAATACATTGTGTATTCCTTTCATGGAAATAGGTAAATTCAGGGCGTAAGTAGAGTCAGAAATGGCTTTAGTTATGTTAAAGGGACCTAGCCATCTGTGTCCCAATTTGGGACTTGGCCTCGTTGTCGTTATATTTCACCTTCGATTTCGATTGCTGGGCTTTCTTTACGCGCTCTTTGATGAATTGTGTCAGGATTGTGTTTTCTTAGTAAAGACACGTGAAATACATTGTGTATTCCTTTCATGGAAATAGGTAAATTCAGGGCGTAAGTAGAGTCAGAAATGGCTTTAGTTATGTTAAAGGGACCTAGCCATCTGTGTCCCAATTTGGGACTTGGCCTCGTTGTCGTTATATTCTTTGAGTCCAGCCAAACTTCATCTCCTACGTTCCACCGTGGATTTTTTCGTACGTGTT